TTGTACGAAACCTTGTTGCATTCCCTTATTTTGTTGTACTTGTTGACCTTTCCCTATTTCAATTGATTTTAGCTGTCACAATTCCCCCGAGTTGATTGATGGTTATTCAGATCACCTGTTGGATCCTAATTAAGAATTGAGAACAGCTTGGTGCATTGTCCCTCTCAGCCAATCAGTAGGTGACAACGCCATTACTTTAGGTCTTTAAGAGAGGTATAGAAAACTGCACACTGAGGACATTCACACCTCGTTTTAGCAGATATTGTCATCGCAAGACTAGCTGGTTATTCATTTTTACTAAAGTAGTATCTTAATGTATTTATGGAGGCAATATTTGGGAGAAATTCTTAAATTCTTCAGGCACTTGTGAGATTTCTTTCTCTAAGTTCATATATATCTTATTTGTATGTAGTTTGGAACTTATGGTCATTCCTCATTAGCTGAAATCTGGGAAATCACTTCCAACAAAACATCATACAATTCAACCTTTGCTTCATTCGTGTTAAAACACAGAACATCCCCTTTTAGACAACAAAAAACATTTAATGGGTTCTTACTTGACCCATGGAACACCCTTCATTAAAATCAGGCCAGTAGTTCTTTCATCTGACAACAAACCAACCAAACCAAAAACAGATAAAGTAAAAAGAATATTAAAAATGAGAATAAAAATAACATTCCTGCCGGTTTGCGGTAATTTTTACATTTGCAACAATAATTAGCCTTTTTAAACTAACTGGGGGGAGTAAGAATCATAAAAACTCTGCAAAATGGGGTCATGGAGGGTAAACTGGCCTGATCGAACCCCCTCCTGCCGGTACTGCCCCTCCATCCAGTATTCAGCACCATCTGTGGACTGCTCCCACTGCAGGACCCGGCTGGAGGAAAAGCACACAGTAGTTAATATGGAAGTGATGGAGGGATGCATGTATGAGTAATGGATAAGGATAGAGTGAGGGGGCAGGAAGGACACTTATGGAATACATTGAGTTGGAAAAAGTGAGCAAGTCATGTTTATTAAAGAAAGGTGCATATTTTAGATTGGGAAGTCTCCTTGGTTTAGACTGCAGAGCCTGATCACATAACGGTCCTACGTTGCAATCTATTTGTTAGAAAAAAACAGTTGGAAAGATGAACTTGGGAATTTACGTATGCAAATGGGAACTAGACATAATGTTAAAGGAGACCTATCATGCTATATTTGAATACTATATTGTAGGGCCATACCTATATAAGGTATATTTATACGTTTTCTTTTTCAAAATACCAAACAGATCATGTCTTTTAGCCATGCCTCATTTCGCTCTATTTTGCTCTCCTCCAGCCCTGTCTTTGCATGCGCTGCAGCTGACCACGCCCCCCCTGCAAAGGAGGGGGCCGAGTTACGAGCGTCATGTTACCATGCTGTTACCATGCCACGGCAACCTCTCATTCCCCTGATTGGTGGAGANATGTCCACCCTCTCCTGTTGGCAGTACAGATTCCCGGGAAGGGAATAAACTTAAAGTCCGCCTCGCCCAGCTTCAGTTGGAAGCTAAAGACAGGCAACTTCAGTTGGAAGCTAAAGACAGAGAGCAAGACCGGCAGTTTCAGTTAGAAATAAGGAAAATCGAGGCAGATGAAGTCCGGATCCGGATACGGCAGATGGAGCTAGACTCCGAACTGCGCGCATCCGGTGTTGTTGGCAATCCTAGAGAAAGCTTTTCACTTCCTTCTCATCCACCTGCCTTCAATGTAGGGAAAAATATTGCATTAGTGCCGGATTTCCGTGAGACTGAATTGGATGCATATTTTGGTGCGTTTGAACGCATTGCAGCGGCATTACAGTGACCGACTGAAGCCTGGGGTCTGTTAGTGCAGTGTAAACTTCACGGGAGAGCTCAGGAGGCGGTTGCTGCTCTTTCGCTGGAGGACAGCCTAAGTTACGACCTGTTGAAGCGTGCCATACTTAGGGTGTACGAGCTAGTTCCTGAAGCTTACCGGCAGAAGTTTAGGAACCATAGAAAGGGTTCTAATCAAACCCATGTCGAGTTTGCCAGGGAAAAGGGGATGTTATTTACAAAATGGATTGACTCGTATAATGCCGCAGAGTATGCTGCTTTAAAAGAATGAATTATTCTGGAAGAATTTAAGAGGGGTTTGCCTGATCGTATTGTGGGGTACATAATCGAACAGAAAGTAAATTCTCTCTCTGCAGCTGCTGTACTAGCCGATGAATATGTGTTGACACATACATCTGTGTTTTCCCTTGTCGCTACTGAGAGGTCACACAGTGTGTCTGCCGCACCATCTGAGCCGTGGAATGTGTATAAGGTAACAAGAGAGGAGAGAGGGTGCTTTTACTGTCATCAACCTGGACATGCCATCGCCAACTGTGCAGCGCTGAAGCGTAAAGAACGGCAGAAGAAAAAATCCCCGCCAAACAGTATTGGCCTGATCACCCGTACACGTGCACAGGCGAGTAAAAGTGTTGCTGATGTCCCATTGTCTGACCCTGTATTTGTGCCGGTGCGTTCACATAAAGCTGTGTTTGAGGAGAAGCCAGAAATTGTGGCTCCTCCTCGTGAGGATTTCGTGAGACCAGCGCAACACGCCGGCTCAGACAAGCCTCTCGACCTTTCGACTCTCCCGGTAACCCGAGAGCGTCAGCTCGTTTATCGGATCCTACTGTTGGTGTTAGCTCTGCAACACTTTAAAATTCATGTTGGACCCAGCCTTTGGCCGATTGTGGTGTTAGCCGGTTATGATCCCTCCCATATATCTGTCTCTTAGCGGTGCCAGACAGTCAGCGTCTCATGCAATGGGCCTGATGTGGCGGGATTTCACGTTAGAACCACCCAGTCATTGAAGGGATCAGAGGATGGTTGTGGGCTGATGCTTTGTCCAGGTGGTAGTTTAGGTTGTGTGGTGTGTATTTGTGTTCGTTATGTATATGTGTTGGTTCACAAAAAACCTGTGGGTTGTGTCTTAAGGGAGGTGTTGTTAACAGCCAGCTGCTTACTTGGTGCTGTTTACTGTTCTTGTGTGTGTGTGTGTGTGTGTGTGGTGATGCTGCGCGTGTTGTGGTGGTGTGCACTCGAGCGCGCAGGTGCTCCGACGTCCTTCGGCACCATCCGAAGAGGTGATTGGATGAGACGTCATCCCAATTTCCCGCGCTTCCTGCACATCTTTCCGGGGGGAGGAGTACAAAGGCCGGAGACGTCATCGCTCTGGAGGCTCTGTGTAGGAGACAGACGCTCTGGCTATTGGCTCGTCGTTCTGGTTAATGGGAGTGTAACCTTCTGGTTTTGTTAGGGCTGTTTAGCAGCGTAACTCTGTTTTAGTTGGGCTGTTTTGTCTTACAGCGTGTTGTGTGGGTGTTTTGTATTGTGTGAGCTTTAGACCCAGGTGTTGGCACTGTTGTCGCTGCGCTTTGTGGGTACAGCCTTCCTATTTTCAGTTGTAGTTCCGTGAGGGTTTTTGTTTCCTTTCTTATTTGTGTATGTAACGCTCCTTTTTAGGTCTCTATTGTTTGGTCGTTTATGCTAAATTGGCCTTTTTGGCCCTTTTTGTTTGTTCCGAGGCTCTGCCTGCATTTTGTGTTACCCAGGCTGTTATAATAAAAACATTCCTAATTAAACAATTCACTGCTGTCGTGTTGCTTTCATTTTTCTTTCCTAGCCGTCGGGGAAGTACAGTGGCCTATTGTGTTTTAATTCTATGTTCAGCGCAGTGTGTTGCTTGGTGGACTTACCGCTGTATCAGTTGTAAAGTATTGCGTCGGTGTTTGTTTGTACTCAGTTTGATTAGNCGAGCCGTGTGAAGCACTGCTCATGCCGCCTCGCACATGTCCACCCTCTCGAAACGGACTTTGAGTTTATTCCCTTCCCGGTAATCTGTACTGCCAACAGGAGAGGGTGGACATGTGCGAGGCGGCATGAGCAGTGCTTCACACGGCTCGCCCGTAAGAGTGACTCGGAGGTGTCATTAACTGATACTATGTTTGGGACATTGCTTACAGATAACAAGATGCCGGAGGAAAAGCCAGAAGTGGTGGTTTCCGCTTTCCCTGCCGTGGCCGCTCCGCCAGCGCAACCTGCCAGCCCAGTTGTTGACGGTTCGACACTCCCGGTAACCCGAGAGCGTTTACTCGCTGCGCAGAGGGCGGATCCAACGCTTGCGAAGTGTTTTGAGGCGGGGATTGGATGACGTCTTATCCAATCACCTCTTCAGATGTTGCGAGGGCGGGACGACCAGTGGCATCGGAGGAACTGCGCAGCTCATGTACACACACACACACACAAACATAATTAACAGTACCAGGAAGGCAGCGGCTGTAACAGTAATGATACACGGGCAAGGCCAGGCAGGAAACATGTGACTTATCAGTAACTTTAGACATCGTAACACAATTTTAAACAAGATTTTATTGTAGATTATACATGTTACTGATACAAATTATATAATATTTACCTTGTTTATTAAAAATTAAAAAATAATTTTTTTAATATATATTTGTTTTATTTGTAATGTGGGAAGAGGGAGGGGGCGGTGCCCCTAGCGCCCCTATGGGCCGGCCGTCACTGTCCTTAGTGCTTGTGCCTGGACTCTATCAAATTTTTGTAGAGAAGAGTATGCATATAATATATATATATTATAAACATTGCAATTATACACATCATAAGACATTATAAATATCTCAGCAAGTGAATGCTCGCATAGTATGGTTGAGAGGTAGTACCCATAGAGTCCAGTAGAGGGCTCCGCCTGTGCTTATATAACTAGGGTTACAATACGTAACCCACCGTTTTGAACACTTGGTACAAACAATGTGCCAATGTGATTAGTGGGATGGTGCAAAATACAATAACAGCAGATGTGTCCCTCAAATTAACACTGTAAAGAATGATGGATCGTTTCTCAAGGGGGTTCTGAGCCTGAAACATTTCCTTTATAATTAATCATTAGTTTATTTTCTGGTTATATGTAACAAAGATAAAAGAAAGAAACAAGAAGAAACATATTCGTTAATTTTTTATTGAATGTTTATGTTAACCAGCGAGAGTTTTTCATGTGTTTCAGTGATGGTTTATGCTGCTGGACAGGTTCCAACACTGACCGCTCCACTGACCAGAGCCGCTTTGCTGAAGCTCACCCGGCTGTTATTGATGGTCAGGTTCCTCATACAGCCTACGTAAGCCTTCCTGGTGGCAATGCCCTCTGGGAGGAAGGGATCTGAGAGGTGGAAGAATACATCACAGGATTAGAAAGGAGTCATGTTTGTTTATCAGGAGATTATCAGAAATGTATTGGTGGTTCACCTTGGGCTCCACCGATAAACACCGGCTTCTTGGTATCTGTGGAGCTGGGGTTCAGAGGTCCAACCACATGGTTGACCTCAGAATCCACATCCAGCTGGACAACGTTGGCATCACGGATCACTAACATCAAGCAGGAATTGATTACACAGTATTCTTCAAGGAATGTAAAAGTGTACTCAACTTCAGTATGTGAGCAAATGTTCTTAGTCTACCACTCAAGTGGCCAAAAGTGAACCCTTGTGCCTCTCAAAGGACTCTTCTTTTTTATTTTGGAAGTTCCACGTCAGCTACTTAATTAAGGTTAAATAAAGTGTGAATTAAAAAAACAGAGAGTCAGAGATAGATTAAGGCATACAAATGTCCCCATGGAAACCAGTTAAAGTCACCATTTTTAATCTCACTATAAAAACTGCTAAATGAAACTATCCCATGGCAAAAAAATAACCCTTTAAATGATAGCTTGTGAACAAGTTTTAAAGTTTAATTCCTATATCTTTTATGAATTGTCTTTTATTTTCCATTGTTTTATGTGTTATTGCCTTTGTAAAGCACTTTGAATTGCCTTGTGTCTGAAAATGAACTATATAAACTAACCTTAACCTTAACCTTAATTGGGAAATTCTCACCAGTGATTCTGTTCCAGTGGCCAGCACACAGACTCTGTCTTGGTTTCACCTTTGTGAAGAACTCATGAGACCCATCATTCACAAGAACCACCACCTGGAAACACACAGCAGCATGTTATTATATTGAACAGAAGACGTGTTTTCAATTGACATACTTTGACCTAACTATGTCGTTTTCTGGATAGCAGTGCCATGACTTACCACTCCTTGATCAAGGAATATTGTGAAATCGCCCTCTGCTGTTTTCACATGCAACAGCATCCCAGATGGCACCCGGGGTCGCAGCTCCATCACCAGCTCAAACCTCAACCCGAGGTCAAAAGTCTCATCTGAGAGGAGCAAGAGGAAGTGAATTCTGGGTACCTTATCCATTTAAGGCAGGGGTGGGGAACCTTTTTCCTCTCAAGGGCCATTTCAAACTTTTCAACATCCTCTGAGGGCCATACAAATGATTGACCTCTGCTTAAAAATACTAAAATCACAGCCCATTCATTTGGCCTTTCTTTCATGTTGTGCAAAGAAAAAGAAACCTAAAATCCAGTAAATCCAGATATCTTACCATGACTCACGCATGCATGTGCACGGTTGTGGCATGACCACCAAAACAGAAAGACATGGACACAAGATGTGTGCACATTTATTTAGTTTCCTATCCATGTGAACATGATTTAGGTGAGGGGGGACCTAACCTCCTCTAGGGGGGTCCGGGGGCATGCTCCCCCGGGAAGATTTTTAAATGTTGAAGTTAATAGCATCAATCTGGTGCACTTTGAGAGCAACATTAAGAGATCTATGGATACATCTCTCAACACCCATATGAAACAGAACTGGAAGCAGATTTTGTTTTTCTTTATGGATATTTTACAAATCACTCCCCTTTCAAACTGTATTCTTGTTTATTAATAACAACTTTTTTTTTACTGTCAAACAAAATAAAGTATTTTATACCAGTTTACTATAATGATCATATAAAGATGTGCCTTTGCCTCACTGGTGGTAGAAAAAGCTTCTTATATTCGTTAGCATAGCTAGCTAACCAGATGCTAATAACAACAAAGTTATTGACTGTATGATCAGTGTGACAGATGAACAGATCGCCACTGGGCCTTCAACTAAAGACACAGCCACGCAAAATCTGCGGCATGTCTACGGCTCCTTATGGGTACTGCATGTGTGAGGTCCCCCGGAGCTAACAGCATTCCCACTAAATAACCGGAAACAGACGTAGGCCTATAAGGGACATTTCGAGCATCATTGCGATACAAAGCCACTGAACTGATTACCCAAGATCCTCAGCTATGGTTTAAGCTCGCTGATTGGATGTTTTAGCCGCAATGCATGTTGGGATAAGGTGTTAATGCGATATGAAATCCCCCAAACCTTTTTTTTTAAAGAAAATAATACTTTATTCCGAGTGTTCTTGCTTTTCTCTTTGAAAGTCATCACATAACGGCATTGTAATACACGGTTCGGCTGCATTACATATTACAGATCTGCCGTAGTTCTTTATTTATAGAGCCCTGATGAGAAGACCTTTGGAAAAACTGGAAGAAATGCAGCCGAAACTGAATACTTGACGTGGATCGTAAATTTATCAACAATTAAACAACATCTTCAATTTCTCTTCACACAATACGTCTCCTCGCAGTATCAACACTAATTCGGCTGACTTTTACATTTGATCTAATTCGTAGATAGGTTATATTTACACCATAACGGTGCACAGCTGATATAAAAGGACTTTTATTCAAGGATATTACTGATTTTCTTTGAATATAAGAATGTAAATACTGAGTCTGAAATAAAATAGCAATATGCTGTAAGATTATGTGAAAACATGAATAAAACTACACATCTTCAGATGTTGTACATACATAAGTGTCCTACACTCATAATACAAAGTTATTATGGCTGGGTGTACCTTGTGTGCACCGCCTAGTGGTTAAACACGTTATTGAATTATTGTTTTAATGTGTTATATTTGATGAAAAGAGTACATACTTTCATAGGGGGAAAGGTAGAAGGTCAATGATATAAAAAATCAAGAAGATACTGTAAGTGATCTCTACAATAAAACAATTTAGTGCCAGATGTACACAGATATTAATAGGAGGATGTGTAAAACTGACAAACTAATTAACCTTTATTTAAACATTAAAGAATACTTTAGATTAAGGTCTTCTTTTAAATAAGAAAAAAGCTTTGGGGGTATCTACAGATAAATATTAAGCCTGACAAAGTACTTAACGTCTAATATATTGCTTTCCTGCAATGTTAACTATGTTGAAGCACTTATTTTAACTGATATTATACATATGAATTGTACTCTTATGTATGTAGATAGTATAAGAAATGTGCAGAATATGACAGTTTAATGGTGGAGGTATACACACATATTGATAGATGTCTTGTAATGCACTGTTGAGGAACCTGTCGACCCAAGTTTTTCATTCATTGCATAACACCGTAGTTGTGTATATGATATGTCAATAAACCTTAGAAAATCTTGAAATCTCGAAAGGGATGTGCAAAATAGCCATTATAAAGTCTTTAATTAACTATTAGTAGAGAATAACGAGTGATGAATATACTTTATTACTCGTTTCCATTCATGTCAATTGCAGATAAATGTTTAGTCTTCTCAAGCACCAACTATCAAATATCTCACCTGATTGTTGGCACTTGACAATCACCTTCCCTGAATTTGACTCAGGTGTAACTAAAGTCTGATTTAAGGGTTGTTTATATTTCACATCATTAATCAGAATCTGCAAAGTCACTAAAATAAATGTAGTGGAGTAAAAATACCAGGTTAACCTCTGAATTGTAGTGGAGCAGAATTACAAAGTAACAATGAGCTGTCATGTGGGTATATATTAATGCTGTCCATTATGGATAAAAGCGATTTTCACCCATTTAGTAATTACATGTTTTAAATTTGATAACACCAATGTGTTTAATACTGGCAACTTCTAATTTTGGGAAAAACGAAAACGTTCCCAGTATAGACATCCCATATAACATTTTGCATGTGTAGTTCTGGGGGTGGGGGGGAGGTTGGTCCCATTCAAGTCCAGTTTTGGATAGTCTGCCGTAGTTTCGTTCCTTTTCAAAGTGCTTGTGTGTTTGTCAAGCAAAGGGACTGTAGTCCCAAACGATAGCTGGGGATTATGGGTAGTGTAGTGTCTTCGGCCATCCTAAACTCCGAAATGTTTTTCGGATTTCATATCACATTAACACCGTATCCCAACGTGCATTGCAGCTAAAACATCCAATGACCGAGCTTAAACCATAGATGAGGATCTTGGGTAATCAGTTCAGTGGGTGTGTATCGCAACGATGCTCGAAATGTCCCATATAGGCCTACGTCTGTTTCCTGTCTGTTTTGGATAGTAGAAGACCCCTTCGGATAAATCTGCTCCCATAAAACCTCATGAACGATGAGTGGAATCCTTAATGTGAGAAAAACATTTTAGAATGAGAACCCGCAGAAAATTACATTTGTGCCTTTACACATTGGCTATAATTTCAGGAAACCACTGTCACATATCCAATATTCTTCTTGTATTGGCTCAGTTGAGTTTAATAACAGGCAAGCAGTTCCCCCTGCTTCCAGCTAAGCTAAGCAAAAGCTGGCTGTATGTCCATATTTGTTAGTCAGATATCAGAGTGGTATCAACCTTTTGATCAACATCTTGACAAGAGAGTAAGTGCATTTCCCGAACCTATTCCTTCAAAGTCTTGATGAAAGGATGAACAAAAAACATGAGTTCAGGTGGAATTAACTTAAACTGTGACTTTTGAAGTTCTACAAAAGCCCAAAGACTAACCAAGTAATTCAATACAATCTAATGACCTGTGCTAACATCCAGACATCAAGCAGCAGCAAATGACTGGAATGCCACAAGTGAAACTAGTGTGGGTCAAAAGCAGGTCATAGGTCACAACATCACAGGGAGGATGAGGAGAAGATGAGAAGAACATGGAGAGATAAAGAGATGACTGAGGAGGTAAATGAGAGAAAAAGAGGAGTGTGGCACACAAGTGGAGGACGACACGCTTCATTAGCATGCTGAGCAGCACTCTTGCTTTAATTTCCAAGTGTGTGCTTCTAGGGTCCTCACTCTTTGTTTCTAGCTACATGTTTTTGTTCGTAGTGTTTTTGCCCGCTAATGTAATGTGATGCATGTGTGTGTGTGAGTGACAGTGATTGAGAGAGAGACTAACAGACACTAAGCAGCTAACTAAACAACAGCAAAACGACAAAGCTGAGTAAAAGTGAAGTTCTGCCCTACGCATAGCAAAATGGAGAAATTAGAGAAACCAGATGGAGAGCACACACACACACACACACACACACACACACACACACACACACACACACACACACACACACAGTTTAATGGATGAACTTAGGATGGCCATTTGAGGAGTATCAGGCCTAAAACAGATACTGCTCAAATTAAAATGTACAACCTTTCATATTTGATTTTGATTTAACATGTATTTTTTCTTGAGAATTCTTTAAAGAACGTTTGTAAAAACAACATTACTGACTGGTGGAGACGTACAGAACTCAATATAGTTCCTACATACACTATATTACATATATATATATATATATATATATATATATAATAATATTGAGATATACATATATATAAATATCAACATAAAAAATGAAATACAATAGGATGAAATAATAGTCTAACATAGTGCATTGATACTGGAAGTTCAATTTGTGTAACTACACTGTGTTCAATGGGGAAACGGCTCAACTTAACAGAGGTTTTATGTGTGTTTATGGTGGAATAATTTAAACAAAAGATAATAATAACAATATTCATAATAAACTCATACATATTATTGAAAAAAAAACAAGGGAGGGGGGGAGTATTGAAAAAAAGGTGTCATAGGAGAGTCAGCTTTTGTGCTAGGGATTTAGTGCTGTTTATTCCATAGTTAAAGTGTGTGATAGCGGAATAATGTGGCAGTAATTGGAGGTTGTTTAATCGGGGAGAATATGTACAGTATGTGTGCGCATGTAGGTCTATGAATAGTTGTTTTTTCATGAAATGGGCCAAACATCTGTGAAGTGAACACGTTTGGTTGTTTTGAATTTGTTTTGTCTCTCTGAACGACTCCATTTTAGTTTGAACGTTATTTTGGAGAAGTGCATGGGAGACTGCCCTGAAAAGAGAAGGATTGTAGGAAACAAAACGTGTGTATTTTTGTGTATGGTTTACGCCTGAGTGGTCATTTCAGTAGACACTGGCACTTTACATCCCCACCACATACGGGACGCTCGGCCAGACAGACCTGTCATTTCTAAACATAAACTTAGCAGTATTCAATATAGGCCGTGTGTAGGAATGGAGCTGTGACACGGGGTGTGTGTGTTTGTGTGCGCCTTTGGCAGTCTGTTCAGTTTCAAGGACAGGTTAAACACTGCTTTCTTTTTATAGCACCAGCAATTTAGCCTGTGTGTGTGTGTGTTTGTGTGGGTGTGGGTGTGTCTGTATGTGTCTGTGTGATAGTGAGATACTTAGTAAATGAGTGAACAAAATTGTGTGATTGTGAAAACCAAGTGTAGAAATACATTATCAGTTTTGTGATGGTAAGAACATTTGGAGGGAAAATCTAGTGTGTGTGCGTATTTGTGTGCGTAAATGTGTGTGTAAGCATGTGCAGTCCTGCATAGCCTTGGGCCTTTCAGCACTGCTTTGTGCCCTGCTGTCATACTTGCCAACCTTGAGACCACAGAAATCGGGAGCATTTCAAAATGCAAAATGGGGGGGGGTGCTAGTGGATCACCGGAGCTGTTAGATTCACATTAACATGCTTATTGTAGTTCTAAGTGCAATGCCTTGCGGCCTGTAGCACCATCCTTGATGGAGCATATGTGTGGGCAGGAAAGGAGTGAGCAGAGAGTAGAGTAGTTGTCGATTCTTGTTCTGTTTTCTGTGACTATCTGCCTCACCCTCTCAGACTTCGTCACGCGCTACTAAAGAGACGTGTTACCATGGAAACCAAACAATGGTGTAGCTGTATTAAAGTCTGAGTGGAAACAGTCTGAGTAAATCTGATTTTGTCAGAAATCGGGAGAAATATGACCCCGGGAGGAAACCGGGAGAGGGCAATGAAATCGGGAGTCTCCCGCAAAAATCGGGAGGGTTGACAAGTATGTCTACCACAGAGTTTGCCACTTGGGTGCAACACACACTATGTACAACGGTGATGAATTATGTCCCGTAATGTTCCACCACAGAGGTCTCTATTTATAATGATAAATGTTAATTTAAAGCTAGAGATGTTTCACAAACAGCTGAACTCAGTTTATGCAACCGGAAGTTCCAGAATAAAGTAAAATGACTCAGATGATGACATCATGAATCATGTTTCGTTATGGATCTGTGTTTAGGTTCGGATGTGTTTTATATTTATTGGAACCACTGTTCAAATAAAAACATTTTCAAAAAACGATGGGCTTTTATTGTGAAGGTGCGCACCGGAAATGTGTGTTCTCGCTGCAAAGGAGGAGCTGAAGGTCACAGCTGGAGCTGGAGCTCCTCCATCCTCAGAACCAGGAGCGACAGACACATCCCGCCTGTCTCACCGCTGCATCTGTCTCTCTGCAGCAGCCTGTCTCACCGCTGCATCTGTCTCTCTGCATCAGCCTGTCTCACCGCTGCATCTGTCCCTCTGCAGCTGCCTGTCTCTCTGCAGCAGCCTGTCTCTCTGCAGCAGCGACCTGTCTTTCTGCAGCTTGTCTCTCTCCCGCTTCACCTGTCTCTCTCATCGCTGGTCCGTCCGTCTCACCCCTGCATCTCCGCCTATTTCACCGCTGCAGCCTGTCTCTCTCTCACTGCTCCGCCTGTCTCTCTCTCACCGCTCCGCCTGTCTCATCGCTGCATCCCCGCCTGTTTTCTCTCTACTGTAGCCTGTCTATCTGCGGCATCTCCACCTGTCTCCCCTCCCTCCCTCCTATCTCCCTCCTGTTTCCCCCCTTCATCACCTGTCTCACCCCCTGTCTCCCCGCTGCACCACCTGTCTCCCCCCCCTGTCTCCCCCTGTGAGTGAGCGGTCCTCTCGCCATGGGGAACCGGGGCATGGAGGACCTGATCCCGCTGGTGAACCGGCTGCAGGACGCCTTCTCCTCCATCGGGCAGAACTCCAGCCTGGACCTGCCGCAGATCGCCGTGGTGGGGGGGCAGAGCGCGGGGAAGAGCTCCGTGCTGGAGAACTTCGTGGGGAAGTGAGTCTGTCACCTGTCTGTCTCTCACCTGTCTGTCTGCCTATCTATCCATCTATCTGTATCATAATGTTGTGTGATACCTTACTATGACACACTGCTGTTTAATGTGTTTATATATTGAATCTCTATCCAATAGGACTGAAATAATCCTACTTTAAAGAGTCCTCTCCTGCTGATGTTCAGGTGTATATCAGTATGTAGTGTCTCTACTTTAAAGAGTCCTCTCCTGCTGATGTTCAGGTGTATATCAGTATGTAGTGTCTCTACTTTAAAGAGTCCTCTCCTGCTGATGTTCAGGTGTATATCAGTATGTAGTGTCTCTACTTTAAAGAGTCCTCTCCTGCTGATGTTCAGGTGTATATCAGTATGTAGTGTCTCTACTTTAAAGAGTCCTCTCCTGCTGATGTTCAGGTGTATATCAGTATGTAGTGTCTCTACTTTAAAGAGTCCTCTCCTGCTGATGTTCAGGTGTATATCAGTATGTAGTGTCTCTACTTTAAAGAGTCCTCTCCTGCTGATGTTCAGGTGTATATCAGTATGTAGTGTCTCTACTTTAAAGAGTCCTCTCTCTTTCATCTAAAGACTAAATCTAAAATAGCTGCCAAAATGAACAGTGACGCAGGGAGACGGGCTCCTCCTCCAGGAATTTCAGGGTAAAGGGGTCATACTTCCGATACGTTTACTGTGACTACTCGACTTGTATTTGGCAGGCTAGGCTTCAAAACATTAATCATTAAATATAGGTGCTCAGGTGGTCAGGTGTTACATACGTCGTCAGGGTAATTAATACGTGCGGTGCAAA